ATCAAGTGTCTTATTCTATCACTCTCTGCCTTATTCCCTTGAGACAGGGTCTCTCTTTGAACCTGAAGCTAGGCTAGTGACAGCAAACCCCCATGTCTCCTGTCTCCACTCCTATCCCTAGGCACTGGGATTACAGGACCTCATGTGACCATGCCCAGAGTTTTACTTACCAGTTGAACCATTTTCCCTGCCCTACTCAAAATTATTTTCTAAAAATATTTATTATTTTTATGTATATGAGTCTATTGCCTGCATGTATGTAAGTGCACCTGTGCCGTGCAATACCCACGGAGGTCAGGAGAGGGCATTGGATCCCCTGGAACTGGAGTTATGGGCAGTTGTTAGGTGCCATGTGGGTGCTGGGATTCGAACCCAGGTATTCTGCAATTCAGTGTTCTTAACAGCTGAGCCATCTCTCCAGCCCCCCTGCAAGATCTTCCAAATCACTGAAAATGGCTTGCTTTTTCTACATAAAACATTGAACTCAAAGTCTTCTTCTGAGTAGTTCAATATTAGTCCCTTAAGCTTCATTAGCCTCTAATGACTTTTATTTGTAGGGACTTCTTGATCTGTAATGCACAGGAAATGCTTGTGACATTTCCAGTAACCAGATTGCTCTTTTTAAATATTTTATTATTTTTTAATTTTTATGTATATGAGTGTTTTGCCTGCATGTAGGTAGGTGTGCCTATGTCATACAATGCCCAAGGAGGTCAGAAGAGGGTGTCAGATTCTCTGGATTTGGAGTTACACACAGTTGTTAGCTGCCATGTGAGTACTGGGAATCAAACCTGGGTCCTCTGCAAGAGCAGACAGTGTTCTTAACTACAGAGCCATCTCTCCAGTCCCAAGATTACTCTTTCTCATAGAGCAATTATTATCATCTTTAACTATCTACCATGTCATCTTCCATGGTCATTAAACCAGGTATGTTTTTGCAAAGACACGTAAACTATTCTGTCCCATTATGTTCCTGATGCTGGGTATCTGACTTACATGGCCTGGACAATTAAAGCTTCTCTATCCTTAGAAAGTGTCTTTATTTCCACATCTAAAACAATATGGACCACCAGGACCAGTGCTTTTACATTTCCCACCTTTGCAAACTTCAACATTATTCTTTTGGCATTGACTCCCTTCCTTCCCCAAAGCGAGGAAAGTAAACGGTAATCCTCTTGGAAAAGTGTTTTCTTATTTAAGATGCTTCCTCCTCATTCTCAACTCCCATTTATAAAGATCTTCCCACCATTATGACAGTATAAATTCTTTCTTATCTCCAGAAAATCCCCAAAACCCGACTTTAATAGCAAATATTCAAAACAATGTTTTTAAATGTAGAAGAATATTGACTTACCTTTTGTCAGTCTAAGGATAAGCACGGGATCTAGCCCCAGATTTTCATATGATCCAGTACCTGGCTCAGAGTAAAAAGCTAGCTGGCTCAGGTGTGAACGACTCTTCATTCGAGATGAAAAAGTAGTCTTTTGGTAGACTTTCATACTACGGCTTATGATTTTTTCCTGCCCAATGTGAAAAAGTTTAAAAGAATTCTTAATACGCTAAGGTAACATGTCAAAATAGCAATCATACCTAATCAAAACTGCCATCCATAGCAAACAAGCAGCTTCGCCTTGAAGGAATGTGCATAGCTCTCTCTTCCTTGCTATATGTAAATGAGCAAAAATGTTTTAAAACTCAAAGCCATATTAAACCATATCTCACAAATATGAGAGAGGAAAATGCCCTTCAGGTTCTATTTCCACATTCCTGTCTTGTCCCAAAGGCAGCCAAAAGAGAGAAATCCTGAGGGTTGGTTGTATGGAACTGAAAGCTTGAGAGGAAGTGGTGAATATCCATGGTAGATATTAAAAAATCAGGCTTCTCATTTGTTTCTTTTTCTCTTGATTTAACTGTGGGTTAAGTTCAACACACATACACAACATGGGCAGAAAACCACCCCCACACAGATAAATCCTCTCTTCAGTGGTTCTAGATGTTTATTCATTAGATTTAGGACTAAGAAGTTTATACTCAATTACATCTTGGAAGAAAGAATGTGAATCTCTCTCTCTCTCTCTCTCTCTCTCTCTCTCTCTCTCTCTCTCTCCTCACCAACTGAGGTGGTACACGCTTTTCTGTTTCCTTTACATGCCTCTGATTCTATGTTTTGTCAGCTCTTAAGTGTCACTTGTGGTAAATGGACTATTATTTTGTCCTTGGTCAATGACGTATGACACCTCAGCTATGCAAGCTAGATCCAAATGGAAAATGTGGCTATTAGATTGAAGTGGGGTGCGTCATAACTCATACTGGATGTGATAGGGTGTCCGCCTTCCCCACTAGGTGGCGATCTTAGATGGTCCCTGCTTCTCTCTGTCTTGTGTTCACACTGTCTCCCCAGAACAGTGCAGAACACACATACTACATACCATCAATATCTGATACCATGTCTTAACCCATAAAAGTTATTAAGAATTATGACAAAGATCACATGAGCCTAGCCTTTATTTGGACTGTGAGTCTTAATAAAACCTTACCTTTCTCTGTGCAGCCATTTCATTTTCTTTGAAAAGAAAGAGATCTTTGAAAAAGACCTTGTAAGGCCTTTCCTTTTTTATTTCACCATCTTTTACTTTATCTGAAAGAAAGGAAAGAAAGGGGGGGAGGAAAAGCGAGAGAAAAATTGTTATTCTTCCTTTATTGATCAGAACAATAAGGCTCCCATCAGCTGGGGTAGAGGAGTGGGATGCAGGGGTCTCTGAAGAGGTGGGGTGCAGATGGGAAGTAGAGGCAGGAAGATGAGAAATTCAAGGTCATCCTTGGCTACATATCTAGTTTGTCATCAGCCTGGGCTACCTGAGAACTTGTCTCAAAACAAACAAGAAACAATAGACAAAACAAAAAGTCCTGGGATCTTGGAGTAGACACCTTGGATCAAAGGGACAGAATGCCTGAGGACACATCCCACCCCCCCACATGCTCCCTCCTGGGTCTTTTATCCATCTTTACTTCACAAAAAGTCTGGAAATCTAGCAGGTAGAGACCTGTGAAGACTCACCCTGGCTCCACCCAGGCCTTGGGGGGTTGGATTTTCTGTTTCTGAATCCCTGGCCACTTGTGGAGAGCTTTTTTCTCAGGGTGAATGTGTGTTTGTATGAGAATTTTCATCTTTCAATAAGTTTGTTTGCCTGTTGCTCTCTGCTGGTCTGAGATTTTTCTTGCTTTTTAATTCTTTAGCTGACTGAGAAAATGAACCCTATCTCTAGATACTGCCCATCCTGTTCAGGTAATAGATGGACACCAGATATCCCATGGGGTCACTGGTATCCTCCAGAGGGGGGTCATTGTCATGCTGGGTATCTCCCACCCACCCCTTTCCCCCTCTAGTCTCCTGTAAGGACAGAGGCTGTTGCGTTGAAGGCAGACCATAAGTCTGTGATCCTTAACCTTAATTACTTTGGTGAAGACCCTTTTAAAAATAGGTTCTCTTCTCATTTTCAGGTTCTGGGTTGACTGATCTTTGGAGGGGTCTATTCTACCCCATACAGCACCATACACCCACAGTGTGCGTCAGACTCCAGTCTTAGCCAAAGTCTCTTTCCTGTGCTCCTTCTACAGGCTGTAGAGCAAGGTGACACTAGGCCCAAGCTCCAGCATGCTGCTTTGGCATCCCAGCTGTGGTGGTTTGAATGAAAATGTCCCTCATAGGCTCCAAGTGTTTGGACATTTTTGTCCCCAGATGATGGCACTGTTTTGGGAGGCTTTAGAAGGTGTGGCTATCCTGGAAGAAGCACATTACTGGGGGTGGGCTTAGAGAGTTCTTAAGCCTTGCCAGATCTCCAGTTGCTCTCTTGCTTTCTGTGCCTGCATGATGATGTGAGAGCTTAGCCTCTGCTGCTCCTGCTCCAGCCACCTCCAGCTACCTTGCCTCCTTGCCATGATGGACTGTAATTCCCCTGGAACTGTAAGCTCAAATAAATTCTGCCTTCTATAAATTGCTTGGGTCAGTGTTTCTATCATAGCAACAGAAAAGTGACTAATACACCAGCCATTAGCTGAACCCTGGCTACTTCCCACTCCATGTACAGTCTTCTCTGAAGATCTGTATTGTGGCTAATGACAACCTTTCTATCACAGCCTCACTGCTAATTTCCTGTGGCCACTGTGACATCACCACAAAACTCTTGGCGTGAAATGATTCGGGTTTACTATTTTATACTTAGAGGTCAGAGTGTGAAATGAGTCTTCTAACAACATAGGGTTGTGCTTCTTGGCTCGTGGCGCTTTCCTCCATCTTTAGCGTGCATCACTCCAGATTCTGTTTCCCTCGTCCATGCCTTTCCTGTCTAAGACACACCTGCCTTCCTTTTATGCAGACTTTTGGATTACCCCAAGCCCACCAGATTATCCTATCTCAAACTCCTTAAGATTATTTTTTATCATGTTTTGGAATGTATTCAGAGGCTCTGGGAAATGGAATGTACATCTCTTTGGGAACTATTGTTCTGTCTATGATACACAGACTCACTTTCTTCTTAGCCTTGCACTTTACTGGCATTCTATTTGCCTGGAGCTAATTCACTCATCCAACAAATACCTATGAAGAGCCTCTGCTGTGTGGCAGGCAGTTATTGGCACCATTATTGTCCAGTGAACAAAACAAGGATGCCTGTCCTTGAGGACCTGACATTGAGCTAAGGTGGTAGAGGGAGTGGTAACAGACAATAAAAAATAACACAATAAGTAAGCAATCTTATAATATACGGTTGACAAAGTTCTGTGGGAAAAAACAAAGTGGGATGCAGAGTAGTTGGGGCACACAACCTTAAGTGGAATGGATGGATGGAGTCCATTGATAAAGTGACTTATCTGTGGAAGAGCAGTTCTGAATGTTGTAACAGTCAGCACAAAGGCCCCAAGGCGGGTTAAAGAAAGGAGGCAGAGGAGGGAGGGGGACAGAGGGCAAGAGAGAGGCAAATGAGCTAATGTCTTGTGGGCATTATAGAAGATGTTGAAGAATTGTTAGAGGACTTTGGCTAGAGAAGTGACGTGGTTTCAATACTTTGTGGGTGGATGAAAATCGACGAGGGGTAGGAGAGAGACGAAGGGCTAAAACCAAATTGGCTCAACCAATGTTGGTACAGGGGGAGATGGGGAGAGGTGGTTGGACAGCCAAAAGAATCCTACAATGGATTGCTCATGGAGTGTTTTCCTGAAGCGTTCATTTTCTTTGTCTCCCTTCCTCCCTTCCTCCTTCCCTTCCTCCCCTCCTTACTTTCTCTCCCTCTCTGAGAGAAAAGAAACTTTTTCACATTGAAGGCAGTGCTGTTTTCTATTTCGGTTACTTGTAATCAAGCTTGTTAATTCTAAACAATTCCAACAAGGATTCCAACAAAGAACAGCCTACCGAATGCAGCGACTGGAATAAACTCTGGCTCTTAGCCCACTGTTAAGTCTTTGCCAAATTTCTAAGTGAAAAATACGGTGATTTTTTTGTGTATCAATGCACTGGAATTGCCTGTCTGTTTATAAAGAAGCAGGAGGATCAAGGGAGAAGATGGTAAAGAACAGAGGACAGATGTCGACAGAGCTTAGCTTTTCGTGGCAGGCCAGGAGACACTCTAGCACATTAGGTAACCACGACAATTTAATGTACCCTCAATGTAACAGAACCTTCTCAGCTGGGATTTATAAGCTCTTTCATGTCATGCTGACCTGTAACTCTCTTCCTTACCTCCTATTCACTATGAGCCTAATCATACCAAGCACAAAACAAGAACACATTGACTGTTTCTTTACCTCCAGAATTCATCGACATCTGCAAAAACTGGGATGACATTTTGTCTCCTGGTCCTGTCCAAACAAAAGAAGAAAGAAATGCACTTTTAAAAATTCTGTACACAGGACATATGCTCAACACACAACATATACCTCTAAGAAAAATTTTAAAAACTACACACAGGGGCTAGAGACATGGCTCAGCATTAAGAAAACTGGCTGCTTTTGCAGAGAACCTGAGAGTTTGGTTCCCAGAACCTGTATTGGATAGCTCATAACTGTCTGTAGCTCCAGGGTTTCAGAAGCCCCCTCTGGCCTCTGTGGTCACCTTCAGAGAGAGAGAGAGAGAGAGAGAGAGAGAGAGAGAGAGAGAGAGGAATAAAATAAATCAGGGTTGGAGAGATGGCTCGGTGGTTAAGAGCACGGCTGCTCTTGCAGAGGACCTAGGTTTGATTCCTAGCACGCATATGGTGGCTAGCAACCCTCTGTAACTCCAATTCCAGGGGAATTTGACACCATTTTCTGACCTCCATGGGCATCGCACAACACAGGTGCCCTTACATACATGCAAACAATACAGTCATACACATAAAATAAAAAATAAAATAAATCTTTTTTAAAAATCTGCATACATTGCATAAATTCAACTGTCAGTGAATTGACAACAGCCTTTCTGACTTTTAGAGTAGTTACCACACAAGCTCCTGAATCCAGTTCACCCAGTAATTCCAGTTCTAGGAATTTATTTCCCAGAAAACAGTCATCCACAAGATCAAAATGTATGTGCAGTGGTGTTCATCCAGTGCCATTTAATAAGTGTGTAGTTGAGTGACTAACTATAGTATTACCCATAAACTAAATTGTCATGCGATCCTTTCAAACGACATTATAGTCATTCTTTACTTGGTGACCACTTATTAGTGTAAATGAACATAAACAAAAAAAGGCAGTCTTGAGGCTGGAGAGATGGCTCAGCAGTTAAGAGCATTGACTGCTCTTGCAGAGGACCCTGGTTTGGTTCCCAGCACCTACTTGGCAGATAAGAACAGTTCATAACTCCAGTTTCAGGGGCTCCAATGCCTTCTTCTGACTTCTGTGGACATTGCATGACACAGGTGCACTTGCATACATGCAGGCAATACACTCATACACATGAAGTAAAGATAATAAATAAAATATTTTCTAAGAAAATAGGGTAGGGTGGGATGTGGTGGTGCACACCTTTAATCCCGGCACTTGGGAGGCAGAGGCAGGCAGATCTCTGTGAGATTAAGATCAGCCTGGTTTACTTAGTGAGTTCCAGGCCAGCAGGGGCTCAATAAATAAATAAATAAATAATAAAATAAATTGAAAAGTGGGATAGGCTAGATGACTCAATGAATAAAGACAATTGACACCAAGCCTAGTGGCCTGATTTGGATTCCCAGGAATCACATGGTAGATGGGGATAATTGACCCCTACAGTTTTCCTCTAACCTCCACGCATGTACTGTGGCATGCACACACATACATGTGCACACATACACTAAATAAATAAATAAATGTAATACAGATATTTCAAAAGAGTAGGAATGGTGTAGATAAAGAAGTCTGCATGGGGAATCTGTGTTTGAAGAACTAGTCAACAAACCTTACAAGTGCCTGTCCCAAACTCACCTCAGTCTCCTTTCACTCTGATCAGTTCAGGACTAGTGCTACGTGATAAGAGACCTACCTCAGCTGTAAAATTTAAAGACTTGCCAAAAAAATGAAAACAAGCAAAATCCTGAGAAAACAACTCAATTTTCAAGATAAATAGCATGTTAATGTAATACTTCTTAAAATTCCAAATTAATACAGGAAAATGATGACAAATGTTACAGTTTTAAGTTTTTTTTTAAAAAAGAGTTATTTTATTTTTAAGTATGTGTGTATGTATATATATCTGTGTGTGGGTTTGTGCACATAAGTGCAGTATCCATGGAGGCCAGAAGAGGGCATTGGATCCCCTGGAACTTGAGCTACAGGTGGTTGTGAGCTGCCTGGCTTAACTGTTGAGATACCTCTCCAGTCCCAGTAATTTTAATCTGAAAAGTTCCTGAAAGTCCCAGGCATCAAAAGCCTCCAGTGTGGCACTACTGAGAAGTGGAGGAATGTCCCTATTGACACACCTGTGAGAAGAAGGCTCCCTCCTCTCTCTCTCTCTCTGCATCTGGGCTTGGTTCCCAGCACCCACATGGCAGCTAACAACCATTCCTAACTTCAGTTCCAGGAGATAGAGATCTGATGCCTTCTTCTGACATCCACAGGCACTATACACACAGGTATACTTACATACATGGAGGAAATACACTCGTACACATAAAATAAAAATAAATAATTAAAAATTAAAACAAAACACAAAATCTTTACTCTTTGTAAGTTGATTGTCTTCGGTGTTTTTTTTTTTTTTAAATATTTTATTACTTTTATTTTATGTGTATGAGTGTATTGCCTGCATGTATGTAAATGCACCTATGTCATGCACTGCCTGCAGAGGTCAGAAGAGGGCGTTGGATCCCCTGGAAATGGAGATCCCTGAGAACAGCCAATGCTCTTAATTCTGAGTTATCTCACCAGCCCTTTAGGTGTTTTTCCCTTTTTTTTTTTTTTTTAAAAATAGAAGTATTTTTATTGCATTTTTTGGTGGATTTGATACAATACATCCTAATCATATTTAGCCCCCCTTCCCTATCTGCATCCCCCATAGCCTGCCCACAGGATTTCATGCATTTTGTCATATATGGTAAGGCCTATTGAGTCAAGTCTGTGTACTCAGATGTTCTATGGTGATCAGCAAGAGTATTCTCTTCACTTCAGGTCAGTCCTGAAAGATGATTGCCATCATTTCATGTAAGACTGTTTTTCAATAGGTGTTTTCTTGTAGTGATGGAAAGTGGACTCATACAATGAACAAACAATCAAAAATTTAAATACAGTAGCGTTGTGGATCTGCACTTATGTGATGTGAGACTTAGTGCTCACTTGATATTTTGCTCATGGATGTTTTTACATTAATGTTTATTTGTTGAAATTGTAAATTAAAATATTGCTTATTTTGATTACTTAGTTTTTGCCTTCCCATGAAACGTTGTGTTGGAGGCCAGTGCCTCCCTTGCCTCACCCCAGTCCTTGCCCTAGTTTTTGTTATTGTCATTGTTTTGAGAGAGAAAGTGTTTCCCTGTAGACCCAGCTTGCTTGGAATTCGCTATGTAGACAGTCTGGCCTCAAACACTCACAGATCCACCTACCTCTGCCTCCTGAGTAAGGGGATTAAAGGTGTGCACCACCACTCCCAGCATTGGTCTCTATATTTTTGGAATATCATTCAGATTTCTCAGTGAGCTCATGTAATCTTCACAATGGGAAAAATTATAAAGACAAATGTACTCACAACAGGAGCAATGGGTCAACATATCCTACTTTGGTTTGCCCACTTAAATTTATGCTACAGCAATGCCAGAGTCATGTTTAATGGCTAACCACCCAGAAACACAACAGCAGGTGATTAAGAACACGGAGTGAATTTGAAGTACACAAGTGTCATCTCAAATCTTGATTTATATTTACAAATGTGTGAGTACATTTATTTAACAGTTAAAAAATATTTATTGAGTATGTACTATGTGCCAGGTACTATCTAGGTGTGGGAGGCAGGGCAATATAGAAATAAGACAAAAGAAAATCAGTAAAACATCATGGAGTCTATGTTTTAATTCCTTAGCATTTCTGAACTTGAAGTGAACACCATTAAGTAGGGATAATAATTCCAACTCTTCAGGCTTTATTTTTTAAACATTGTTTTACATTTGTGTGTGTGTGTGTGTGTGTGTGTGTGTGTGTGTGTGTGTGTGCCACAGCCCACCAGTGGAGGATAGAAGACAACCTGTGGGAGCTAGTTCTCTCCTTCCACTATGTCTGCCCCAGGGATTGAACTCAGGTCATCAGGTTTGGTGGCAAGTACCCTCAGCCAGTGAACCATCTTGTTGGACCTCCTCAGGTTTTCCTGAGGAGCCAATGAAGCAATGGATTTAAACCACCAAGCAGGATGGAGAGTGGGTGCTAACACTTACCAATTAACAAATGATTTTACTTCCAGTGATGTAAAAGCAGCCACAGGAAAGAAATTACATGAACATTTATGAGAAAACAATCAAAACTGTAACATTGATATAATTTTTTTTCAAATTACTGAAAGCATTTTCCATAAGTAAAATTCTCATTCTAAGAGTAGAAAAGAAGATATGGAAAGTGGAAAACTGACGACAAACTGATAGTTTGATAAGTATTTGAAATGTGGGTAGCTAATACTAAAGACCAACAGAAAGCATAAGTACATTCTGCACTCATCCTCACCCCCAAGTCGACTTGTGTCCTTACTATACTTTCCTCCTTTGTTTTTTCTGTTTCTCTAAGTTCACCTTCTTCCTCTTTTCTATTGATACAAAAAAGTGTGTCCGAGGCAGAGGCAGGCAAATCTCTGTGAGTTCGAGGCCGACCTGGTCTACATAGTGAGTTCCAGGGCTACAGGGAGACCCTGTCTCAAAAAGACAAAAAAAAAAAAAAAAAAAAAAAAAAAAAAAAAAAAAGTGTGTCTGCATGAGCATGTTTATCAACAGATTCTGGCACATTTTTATTCAAAGAAAAGCTGGATGTTCCTGTTCTCCTCAGACAACTGCTGACAGATTTCTGCTTTTGTTCCACCGCCCTGCCACTCATAGGTCATGTAAAGGGAGTCAGCAGTCTCTGAGTCTTACCCATCTATCTTTCCACATGTGTTCCTCTCCCTAACAACTAGTGAGGATACAGGAGAAGCACAGGAAGGTAGAAGAGAACCAGCTGGTCCCAATCAGGAAGATCAGTGTGGAAGAAAACAGCATGGTTGCTGAACAAAAGCTCTGTAGCAAAGAAAACAAATTGTATCATACAGCAAATGCTTGAAAATTCATGTCTTCAAAACACATTTACATCAAACTTCCAATGGATGAGAAAGATCAAAGAGCTCAGAAACACCAGCGATTTAAAACTGCAGTGTGACTGTGAGTCATCATGTCTAAGGTGGCACAGTAGCAGTGACTAAGAGCATGAAGTCTCTTTATGCTCCATAACTCTGACTTTAATTTCCCCACTTTCGAAAAGGGATAAGGACAGTGGCCCACCCTGTGGGGTTCACAGTTAAGTTAATCTGCCTTTTGGCAGCTGCATAGTAAGACCCAGGTACATGTAAGCTCATGGAGAAGAGTGATCTAAGAAGGGAAGGTGCCTGGTGTGTTTGAGGAATGGGAAGGAAGCCAGTGATACTCAGGTGCTTCAAGAAAAACCAAGCTCTCGACTGCAAAGGCTCAGCAGGTCATTTACCTAGAGACAGAGAATCTTCTAGTGAATCAGCCTGACCTTAAAGGAACCATAAAGAGGGACTGGAATCACACAGAAAATTGTTAGGGGGCTATAGTCATTGGGAAGTGTCCTAGTTTGTTCTTCATTGCTGTGAAAAAATACGCTGACCACTACCAACTTGGGGAGGAAAGGGTTTATTTAGCTTGCATATCCCAGGTTCATCTGGGAGCCCAAGGTAGGAACTCAGGGCAGGAACCTGGAGGCAGGAGCTGGAGCACAGGCCATGGAGGAACACTGCTTACTGGCTTGCTCCCTTAGCCCCTGCTCAGCCTGCTTTCTTATGCAACACAGGCCCACCTGCTCAGGGGTGGCACCACCCACAGTGGGCTGGGCCCTCCACATCACTCATCAAGAAGATGCCCTTCAGACATGGCCACAGGCCAGTCCAATAGAGGCAATTTCCTGATTGAGGCTCCCTCAACCCAGGTGTGTCAAGTTAGGGTTAGGGTTAGGGTTAGAGTTAGGGTTAGGGTTAGGGTTAGGGTTAGGGCTGCAATGTCAGTACAAATCTAGGGGGCTTGGATCACCTGGGTGTAGAGTCTTCACTTTTCAAACTCAAGGGAAGATTATCAGTGTTTTATAAGGTACACTCCTAAAGTTCTAGACTAATTCTAAATAAAATTAGCAGTAGCAGTGTCTACAGACACTACTGGAAGCAGTTTGTGTTCAACTTTCATAATATCATGCCTACAACCTAGTGAAAATGAATTTCCAGATTCCCCAATGTGAGATTTTTTTAAAAAAGTGTGACTCATCCATGTAAGGATCTAGACCTATTATTTCACACCCAATGCCTTTCCAGTTTTCTCTCCACCTCCTCCCACCCACTTTGGATAAATACTAAAAGGAAAAGCTGTGAACTGTGGCCTTGAATGGTGTAGATACAACTGAGTCAGCAATCTGTTGTTTACCTGGAACCCCAGGACCACTGGGTCCTTGGACTGATCCATGGCCAGACTGCCTCTTGTAGTTTGGTCAGAAGCAGCACAAGATGATGAAATGTCTTTCAGCTTGACCTTTACTGCCCTGCTGGCGCCAAGCTTGCTGTTTTGTGTGGACCTTTCTGTTGACATTTCTGATTGCTTCTTTGGCAAACTGAAAACATAACTAGAGGTCAAGTGGAAGGAAGGACAGTGGAAGGGAGTCCTCATGTGAGTCAGGTGTAGTGAGGAGAGCTTTGTAACAGGGATGCTCGTTAGTACTAAGGTTTTTTGGTGAGCTAAAAAAAAAAATCTATGTGTTATGTGTATGTCTGCGTGGGTACGTTCACATAAATGTAGTGCTGTCAGAGGCCAGAAGATGGTGCCAGATCCCCTAGAGCCACAGCTCCAGGCAATTGTGAGCTGTCCAGTGTAGGTACTGGGAACTGAACTTGGGTCCTCTGGAAAAGCAGTCTACCCCCTTAAACTGCTGGACTCAGCTTTTTTTTTTTTTTGGTTCTTAAGCTTCGTGTTTCTGTAAACCCTTGGTGTGTAGGTTCTTCTCAGATAATGCCTGCCTGGATGGTTCATGAGACAGATGGTTCATGAGATGCATTCAACCTACTCACAGACATAAATGCTCAAGAAAAAAAGAATATAATTTCTTTTTCCACTTCCCAAGAATGTTAAGTTTTTTAAAAAGATATGTATCTTGGGGCTGGAGAGATGGCTCAGCAGTTAAGAACACTGGTTATTCTTGCAGAAGACCTGGGTTTGAATCCCAGCACCCACATGGCAGCTAACAACTGTCCATAACACCTCCAGTTCCA